ACCGACTTGGAGTATCGAATAAAGAGCGTCAGCGGCCTATACTTGTTAAGTTTTCCACCATGGATGACAGATCGTCAGTTTGGAAGGCTAAATCAAGACTCAAGGGTTCCTCTATAACTATAAAGGAGTTCCTGACAAAGAACAGGCAATCCATATTCGCCAAGGCCAGGCTACATTTCGGTGTCCCTGCGTGCTGGACTCAAGATGGTATTATAGTCATCAAAGTCCCTGGTGGAATCCGGCACAGGATCACGACCATCGACGAGCTGAACCCGCTGCTGGTGAAATATCCAAGGGCGCAAACGACTTCCTCAAAATCCTCAAAGCCTGCAGGAGAAAGTAGGTCTGATAAATAAATTCAATTTAGCAGTGACATTTAGCATTCACTTAATAGTAATATTTACCATATAATTATACCACCTCATAATTATTCCTTGTATACAAGACCCTTAGCCCATTTCGTATACATATCTTTCAATTGTTTTTATTCGTGTAGTTTTCTAACCTTTATTTTCTTATTGTTTTATCCATTTTTTGTTCATTTTGACTTGACGTTTTAGGTGTATCATCAAAGAGTACAGAGTAGCATAGATTAAATATTTAATCATTCACTCATTTCGGTCACTGCTGTTCGGATACGCTACGCGTAATATAATATCTGATATTGAGGGTGAACCATTGTCTAACATTAGTATTAACACCTATGTTTTCTTCACACTGTTATGAATTGCCGTTTAAATTTTTGTTTTTTGTTCAAACTTTTTCTAGTGATGTAAGCTGGCGGGTGGTGCAGAGATACAAGCGTTGTACCAGAACATCGGCACGCACATAGTTAATCGATATATATATATATTTTATTTTTATTACTATTAGTATTACTTATAAATATTTATAGTTCATTCGTACTTATGTCTTCAGGTAGTGAATATTATGTTTCTGCCAATGAATCTGAAACCTCTTTTAGTGATGATAGCTTCTCTTCCGTAACAGAAACTCTCGGTGGTGTTTTACGCAACAAGTTTAGTAGTAACACAAACAGACAACTATTTAATGTGTGCCATCTAAATGCCCAAAGTGTTCCTAGCCACTACGCTGATTTGTATGACGCATTTTATGATGCTAATATTCATGCCGTTATGATCTCCGAGACTTGGCTCAAACCGCATCTTCTCTCCACCTCTTACTCCCTGCCCGGTTTTATTCTTATCCGGAACGATCGGATCGGAAGGGGGGGAGGTGGCGTGGCTATTTACCTACGGAGTGACTTTTCCTATAGAATTATATCAGCTTCCTCTTCTCATTATAATGCTTCTGCTGAATTCCTATTCTTAGAGGTTTGTGTCAAAGGCGCTAAGGTTGTACTCGGTGTTGTCTATTGTCCCCCTTCAATTGACTATTTCACTGATTTCGAAACAGTTCTTGAATCTCTGGGTGCAGAGTACGCTCATCATATCATCATAGGTGATTTTAATACCAATCTCCTAGCCCGAAACTCCACTCGTTCCTGTAAACTCCAACTCCTTCTTGAGTCGGTCAGCTTTCTTGTTCTGCCATTACAGGCCACTCACCACAATAATGTCAGCGAGGACACTTGGCTCGACTTAATTATTACCTCTAATCCTTCCCTTGTTTCCTCTCATGGTCAGCTTGACGCTTCCGGATTTTCACATCATGACCTGATTTTCCTCTCCTACGTTCTCAAACCTCCTAAACCCAAACCTAGGATTCTTTACAGGCGTTGCTTTGGACGAATGGATATTGACAAATTGAATGACAATGCGTCACATATTGACTGGACATCCCTGATCGATTCTACTTGTATCGATGACAAGGTGCACGTATTTAACGAAATAGTGACTAAACTGTACGAAATTCATGCACCGGTTAAAAAGGTTAGGCTTAAACGATTGCCAGCACCTTGGTTGACCAGGGGTATACAGATGGCCATGAGACGTCGAGATCGGGCATTTAGGACTTATAAGAGGGACCGTATCGAAGTCAACTGGCAATTGTACAAGTCTGCAAGGAATCGGTGTACCCAAGTGATAAGGAACGCTAAACGCCGCCACATTCTAGATAATATTTCCTCTTCATCTCCTGCCGACATCTGGAAGTTCCTTGGGACTCTTGGTATCGGCAGATCGCGACATGTGGACTTTCCACAATCCATAAATCTCGATTCCCTAAACCAACATTTTACCACCTCTCTCACGTTGGACATTGTATCTGAACATAACACCCGTACTTACATAAATAGTCTACCGCGCCCTAACTTAAACCCTTTTCACTTCAGTCCGGTTGCAGAAGGAGAGATTAAGAAGATTATTCAATCTATCAGATCGCAAGCAGTTGGTTGTGATCGCATTAGTCGGAAAATGATCACCACATTGCTGGTCCACCTCCTTCCCGCTATCTCCCATATTGTTAACTTTTCTCTCATGTCTGGCACATTTCCTTCTCTGTGGCGGAGAGCGTATTACCTAAAACTCCCAATCCGTCTCTTCCCACACACTTTCGTCCAATTTCTATCCTTCCCTTCCTCTCCAAGGTGCTAGAGGCCTGCGTCCACAAACAGTTCTCCCACTTCATTTACAGCAACAACTTACTCAGTCCCTTTCAGTCAGGGTTTCGACCAGGCCATAGCACGGCATCTGCTCTTCTTAAAGTGACTGGCGATATTAAGGTGGGGATGGAGAATACTAAGGTTACTACCTTAGTACTGGTTGATTTTTCGAATGCCTTCAATACCGTCAGTCATGAACTTCTCCTTGCTGTCCTATCCCATTTCTCGGTCTCTCAAGATGCACTGGGCTGGTTTTCCTCTTACCTTCGGGATCGTCTGCAGTCAGTCAGTGTCGAAGATTCTTCCTCTAGCTGGTGTGATCTTACTGCTGGCGTCCCTCAAGGCGGTATTCTTTCACCTCTTCTGTTTTCTATCTTCATTAATCTTATCATCCCAAGACTTCAGTGTTCCTTTCATCTCTACGCTGATGACTTGCAGCTATACTACCAGACAGAGTTGTGCAATGTATCGTCCGCGATTTCGGCTATAAATAGTGACCTGACAGCCATTAAACACTGGTCTGATATGTTTGGCGTATCGGTCAATCCAAATAAATGTCAGGCTATTGTCATCGGGAGTAACCGAGCTATGAGCCAGCTCGAACTTGCCTCACCTCCACCACTTACCTACGATGGCATGGTTATTCCATACTGTGAGAGTGTGAAAGACCTCGGAGTGTATTTTGACACAACTCTGAGCTGGCGACAACAAGTTGCATCTGTGTGCCAGAAAGTGACAGGTTCGCTGCGGGCCCTCTATAGACTTAGAAACTTTCTTCCATCGAAAACTAAGGTAATGCTTGTTCAGTCTCTTATATTCCCTATAATCGACTATGGTGATATGTGCTACTTTGACCTGAATGCAGATCTGCTCAATAAGCTTGACCGTCTTCTCAACAATTGCATTCGATTCGTTTTTAATTTACGCAAGTACGATCACGTGTCTCAGCATCGCTCTCATTTGAAATGGCTTCCAATTCGCCAACGCAGACAGACACGAGCATTAACTACCCTATATTCTTTACTCTTTTCCCCAAAATCTCCTTCCTACCTCACTTCTCAAATTCAATATCTAGGTGCAAACCACGCTAAAAATCTTAGATCTTCAGACAACCTACTTCTTCACTGTCCGACTCACCGGTCTGACTTCGTACATTCCACTTTTTTTTGGTACAATCTGTCCTGTTATGGAACGCGCTCCCTCTCGAGATCAGGATGGCAAAAACTCGGCAAACATTTAAATACCTGTTGCGGCAACATTTTTTAAACACTCTATCAAATCCATCTTAATTTTATACTCTCTCCATTTAGAATTTATATTATATGTATTTAAGTATATAAATGTATATGTATGTATATTTATGTATTATGTGTATTAGTATTATATGTGTATTACTTATTGTATTTATCTTTAAAATTATTCCAATGTTATTTATATAAGTACTCTGGTTATATGATATTCTAGATATGCTATAGTTTCAATAAATCACATTTTTAATTTCTGTGCATCTACCACGTTTGGCTCTGCATCGCCCTAAGGTCGACTGGTAGAAAATGCCTACGGCATTAAGTCCGCCTTTGCCACATTTGTGCATAAAGATTTAAATAAATAAATAAATAAATAATACCGGCGTTATATCGACACAGGTTATTGAAGGAACTGCATTCTCTGGTCATTTTGGCGTAGTCAAAACAAAGAGTTCGGCTCGTAGTAGATTTCGGTGGCCGTCCATTGACAAGGATATAGAGGAGTGGGTGGGGTCGTGCCGCGTGTGTGCGGGCACGCGAGCCGCTCCGGCGCGCGCCCCGCCTGCGCCCTGGCCGCGCGACTCGGCTCCGTGGCAACGCTTGCATATTAATTACATGAGTATAAACTCATGACTCCTATAGTAAGTGGTTAGAGTGCTTACACATGGGCTGCGGCGTTTCTAGCAGGGAACTAATAGGTAAATTAAAGGAATTGTTTTCAAGATTCGGTATACCAAGTGTAATAGTTTCCGACAATGATGTTAAAATTAAGTCCAATGAATTTAAATTTTTTTGTGAAATGAATGGTATACGATATCTAACGTCACCTATTTATCATCCTTCCAGTAACGGACAGGCGTAAAATTCCGTTAAAACCTGCAAAAAGATGATTAAATCTATAATTAGTAATAACTGTCAACAAAATGTAATTCATGAAAAGCTTTTAGGATTTTTATTTGATTATAGAAATACCCCACATTGTACAACGGGCGAATGCCCCTCTAATATTATGTTCGGTAGAAAAATAAAAACTAGATCTGTTATTAGAGTATAGTTATAATGATAAAACCAGTCAAAATTACATTTTAAGTAGGAAAATTAATGTAGTCGATATTGTATGGTTAAAATGGTTTATTGCGAAAAAAGAGATCTGGATTTTAGGCAAAATAAATAAAGTGGTAGGTAATCGTATGTTCGAGATATTTGTAATTGATTATAATGTTAATTGTAAAAGGCATATTGACCAGATAAGAAAGTACACAGGTTCTACCGTTACTGGAAGCGAAACGAACGGCGCCGGCGCACCCGCCGACTTGTCGGGTAGCCCACCTGCCTCACCGCGCGCCTCCCGCGCCTCCCCTGACCGCCCCCAGAGGCAGCCGCGTCAAACTATGTCTTGTGACGAATCGCAACATTCGCAAGCTAGTGTACGAGAAGATAATAATGTCGGGGAGGAGGATGAGTGGGCAGAGGCTATAAGTGAAGGTGGTGCTAGCGATGGCTCATATGAGTCTAATGCTCTCGTATCACAGCCTCCGAGACCTATACGTAGTTGTAGACGTAAGATTAATTATAAGGAATAACCTGTAAACAGTTGGTATTAAGACATAAGGAAGTCATAGTTACTATTTGTCGTATACCACGCACCATATGTTCTCTGGATTTACTTAGTAGGTTACTATTGCTTAAAATAACTTTATAAGAAGTTATTATTAACTTCTTATAAAGTTTAAGTCTTAAATAGGCAATAAAAAAAACTAGGTAATTATTGGTGCGTAGTGTACAAATTGGCCAATTGCCTATTATTGTTGTTTTTAATTATTTCAAGGTTTTTTTGTGTATGTGTGCGTGCCTGCAAATAAGTTTTGCTGTTAACTTGTGTCATGAGTAATAAACGAGCATCCAATCGCAACGGTAGTTTCACTAGTAGTATAGTAGCCGACACAGCAGAGATACTTACATTGTTTGTTGAGGTGTTACATGTTGGGGGTTACTGTGAATTCCTATTTATTACCACAATACTCACATTTTTTGTTAAAGTTTTATAAATTAGAAATTACTCTGTATTCCTATTTATTACCACAATACTCACATTTTTTGTTAAAGTTTTATAAGTTAGAAATTACTCTGTATTCCTATATAATAATTAAAAACTTGCATTATTTGTTAAGGTTTTAAAGGTTAGAAGTTACTATGGGTTCTTATATGTTACTTAGATGCTCACATTATTTGCTTGACCATCGCAATCCAAATAAACTCTGTCATCATGTCAACATTAACCAATCTCGCATAACAATTGCATCTCTACTTCAACGATAACACACGCACATTTATTATTACCCAAACTCACTATTTTAACTAGAACAATTAATCTTATACATTATTGCTATGACATTGTCAGAATACGGTTACTATTATTGATCAGTTATTACACACATCTATACATTCGTCACATGAGCATTCTAGCCTAATAGATAACTTTGAAGTTTCATAACCTTATAGGTGCGCGCCAGAAGAATGTTCAAAACTTTCTTTTGTACATAGTCTCAAAATATTAACTCAAAACATTTGAAGTATTTCAGCAAATATGTCTGGCTTCTTAAAATTATTAGCAAAAGTATCCATGTCAGTAGATATAATCATTCTCACAGAATGTTGGCTAGCATGCAAACCTAAAATTCTTACATCAGACGGATACCAGCACTACATGTATGACTTCAAAATCCTTAAATAAAAGCTACAGAGTTTTAATATACATTGATAGCAATTTACCAAACATTTCTATCATTGAACCAAACATTAGGGATGCTAACTGTCTCCAAATAAATGTAAGTAGAGAAATTTGTATTTTCGCGGTGTATAGGCCACCATCATACAAAGAGATAACGAACTTTCTGTGCTCCGTGAACCAGGTCTTAACTAGCAATAGAGCAATTGGGAATATAATGATTATTGGAGACACTGATATAGATATTGCAAATGAAAAGAGAGATTCAAAAGTTCAAGAATACCTCAACCTAAATGCTAGTCATGGACTACTACCAGCCCATACTAGAACTACACATGGCAAAACTTCTCTTAACCACGCCCTCCTCAAAACAAAACTAAAAGCTCTGACTATAGTTATCGATTCCACAGTTATAGATCAAAATGCTGTTCTAGTAACTCTTGGTAAAACTAAACTGGATAAACAATGCAATATAAAGAAGAGAATAGATCACATAAAGTTAGAAGAACAATTACTAAAATGTTATTATTCATATATATATATATATGAGTGTACAGATGTTCATTTGTTCATTTGCATGTTCAAAATGCTAATTTGCACAGCAAAAGTTGCAATGCATCGCAACTTTTGGCTGTGCCACAAAGTCTGAAAATTCTTAAGTCATGGATTACCCCGGGTGTATTACGGTGCATGAAAAACAGGGATAGAATGTACATGAGACTAAAGCGCGAACTTGATAACTTAATTTTGAACATCACTTTCAAAAGATATAAAAACTTCTGTAACACCCTTCTAAAAAACCTAAAAAGGACTGCTGCCAGCTCGACTGACAAAAGCCCAATCAAATCCAAAATTAATGTGGAACATCATGAGAAACGTGACTCACTCCAAGAAAATTAAATAGACAGCAACTGATCTACTAAAAATTATAAGTTCGGCACAGGAATCAGTTCACTTTATTAATCAGAGTTTTATAAATATTGGAAAAGAGTTAGCAAATAAAATAGTAAGTAATAATAATAATCTTTATTGCATTTAAAATTTCACTCACTGTTGAGGTACAATATCACATAGTACAAAATCTATGGCACTGAATGCTGTCTACCAAACTAGGCAAAGCCTGTATTTTGGATGACAATATCCAGCCGCAGGAATATATACATGTGAGATTATGCTAAAAGTGAAATATAAGGCACTTGCAATACAGATACATAACAATAAAATGAAATAGGTATAATAAAAACTGTGTAGGGTTAGGACGTGAAGGTGTGTGTGTGTGTGTGTGTGTGTGTGTGTGCGTGAAAGTGTGTTAACGTGTGTGTGAATCGAGTGTGAAGAGGGCGAAAATACTTTGTTGATCACAACAGAGTAGAATAAATTAATTATTTAATTGTTTGCATTAAATTTTCTGTTTCTTGATAATTCAGCTGCTGAAGCCAGCTTGAAATTTTATTATTAAGTTCATGTCTTCTGAGACCCACAATACCTACTTCTCTGTTTATGTGGTTATAAAGTTTACAGCTAATACTAACAGATTGACAGTTTTGAAATAGAACCTAGGACATTCCGACATGAATTTATTTATTTATTTATTAGGGTTAACAACAGCCGTAAAAATAAATATTACAATTTAAATTTCTACAATCAGGTGAAACCAATTAATGTTAACCACGTATGCAATTTTGATTTTAATAAAAATTGCCCAAACTTTGTCACAGCAAAAATGTAAAAAAATAAAAGTTGAAGCCAAAACATAAAATATTAAAATTAATAAATTAAATTACAATTAAAAAACGAAGGAACAGTGTGAGAATATAATAGGCAAGCAGTGTGCTGAACAGTGTGTGTGTTGTGCGTGTATGTGTGTGTGTTGTGCGTGTATGTGTGTGTGTTGTGCGTGTATGTGTATGTGTGTTGTGCGTGTGTGTGTGTGTGTGTGTGTTTGTAAGTGTTTGTGCGTGTGCGTTTGCGCGTGTGTGTTTTTTTTTAAAGACAACTCCCGCATCAGGAAAATATCCTGTGTCGCGGGGAATCTTACAAACATACATGAAACGGACACAAAGAACACCCAGACTCAGAACAACAATTTGTGGATCACACAAAGTGTCGTCCCATGTGGGATTTGAACCCAGAACACTCGGCGTAGTAGGGAGCGGCGTGGCGACCGCTTAAACCACTACGCCATCCGTGCAGTCAAAGTGTGTGCGTACGTGGTGCGCGTGTGTGTGTGTGTGTGTGTGTGTGTGTGTGTGTGTGTGCGCTACACTATACTACATAGCATTACATAGACCTCAGGATAACCGAAAAAGCGAGGCAACATCCTACCTAACCAGATTTATATTTAACCTAATCACACTTTAGCTTGAGTGCCCGCTAGCGTGTTCGTTATATGCGTCTTTAACCCACTTTTACTGTTCGAGAATAAATCTATGTCTTTAAATTCGGTATTATAGGTTAATATTATTCTGGAGAGAACAGAGTTCTTGGCATAATTAGTAGAACGTACGAACGTACGTAAGGGCGCGTGAATCTGTACGGTCTTTTGAGTAAAGTTTTCAGCACCGCTCTCTGCGTTCGCTCTAATTTTAACAGATAGGTTTTAGCGGCCCCTCCCCATGTTGTAATACAATACTGGATAACTGATTGGCCCAGCGCTAAGTATACAAGCTTAAGTTTTTCTTGCGGCATTGTATCTCTTAGAGATTTAAATATGTGGATTAAGCGTCTTACGCGCGTTGTCATCAAGTTTATATGTTTATCCCATTTTAAGCCACTGTCTATCTGAACACCAAAATATTTAGATGATTCGGTTTTTGTGAGTTCGTAACAGGAACAAGTTTGTGGGGACAAGCATATATGGAAATGCGAAACTTGTGGAGGTTTGGCAAGTTTTGTGATAGAAAAGGGAACGTAGTGTGTTTTGGATAAGTTTAGGGTTAAAAGGTTTTTGTTTAGCCAGTTCATGATATTTCTGAGGGAACACTCCGCTCTCTCTTTCACTAATGGCCAATTTGGGCCCGAGACTAAAACTGTTGTGTCGTCTGCGTATGTATAGATGTCGGTATACGGCAGTGGTAGTGTGCAGAGGTCATTTATAAAAAGGAGGAAGAGGGTGGGGCCCAGGATGCTCCCTTGTGGGACGCCATAGGAAACTTTATGCTCCTTGCTCACGTAGCCGTCTATTTTGACCGACTGTTGCCTATCTGAGAGGTAATCTTCAAAAATTTTATACGGAGTGTCTATCACCCCAAATTTATTTAGTTTCGCTAGGAGGATAGGGACAGAGACCGTGTCGAAGGCTTTAGAAAGATCCAAGAATACGCATAGACATTTGTTTTTCGCTTCAAGGTTCTTACTTATTTTAATTGTTAGGTCAAGTACTGTCGTGGGGACGCCCCTAACGTATGGTTAGGGGCAAGGTGCGCCCATGGGCCCCGCCGCTCACCCGGTGTCTTCAGCCAGAGCTGCTTGAGAGGGTCGTTGGCTCCCTGTTCCCAACGCGAGTGGTGGAGCATACTCCGCCACAGATTGCTCCGCCTCCGGCGCGTAAAGCGCCTAACGTGGATGACGACGACGTGCCTGAGGTCACTGGGGTGGAACTAAGGGTGGCGGTGTTACGGCTTAAAGCTAAAAACACCGCCCCGGGACCCGATGGCATTCCTGGCCGAGCGTGGGTCCTGGCCTTAGTCGACGAGGCTCTCGAGTCCCGACTGCGAGGGTTCTTCAGCGCATGCCTCGAGCTAGGCCAGTTTCCGAAATTGTGGAAGACGGGGAAACTGGTCCTCATCCGAAAGGAGGGGCGCCCGGCGGACTCACCGTCCGCCTACCGGCCCATAGTGTTGCTTGACGAGGTGT